TAGAGTCGATGCTCTAAACAATCAAATTAGAGCCCACCGCAAAATTTTTACTAGAAGAGGTTGTTTTGATGCTCAAATATCTTCAAATTGATCATCTGGACTTCAAGATGCATAGACATGCGGAAAAAAAAATTAGATTTCAAGTTTTTGAAATAGTGCATCTTGTAACGCATTTTTAGACCGTCAATTTTCAAGATATTCCAAGTTTTCATAGATCTGCTTGATCTACACTATTTTGAAGCTTTAAATTTTATAATTAAATATAAAAATATATTTTAAAGCTACCACAAAGATTTGTAGTATTGAAACAACATTTCTCGATACTATTTGAAGATGTGCTTTACTTTGATTGTTTAGAGCCTCGGCTCTGTACAAACCGCACCCAACCTTAAATGGGCGTACAACGTGTACCTTTTTCCTATGTACTAACTTTTTTATGGGATGATAATGTAGGACTACATATGCCATTTCGTTTATAACTTTTTTAACCACTTTACAATCACTCGGATATTATTTTCAAAAAGAAAAAGTTTGAGCTTCGGAGCAAATCTTTTATTTTCGAGAGAGTAAATTTGTAATGTACGTGCCAACAATGTTCTCCCTCTGTACAACACCATCCACACGTTTTTTTAAATCATAAAAAAAAATACAAAATAAAAAATAAATAAAAAAAGAAAAAGAAAGAAAGAGTTAAGAGCCCATTTAGAATTTGAAGTTTTCCAGGTCTTTTACTCATTTTTAGTGAAAGCCTGGTTTGGAATATGAAGCTCCAAATTGGTTCTATGTAGAAAAGTCACTTCCAAACGGATCTCTCAGCGAAAGGACCCTAATTCGGAACCTCAAGTTTTGAATGAGGGTGGTTTGGGAAATTAAAAAATTTGTAAAATGTGGGTGTTCATGTAAAACATAAAAATAAGACATTTTTAAAAGATAAACGTTTATATAAATAGCTCATCTTGTAACACATTATCTAGACCGTCTATTTTCAATATTTTCATATGTTTATATATCAACTTGATTTATCTATTTTTGAGTTTAAAATCTTATAATTAGATATGAAAATAGACTTTGAGATAATCCTAAAAAAAATTACACCAAAATTACAGGTTCTGATAAAATTTGGAGGTGCGCTTTAATTGGATTGTTTAAAGTTGCAATCTTATAGAAACCACACCCTTTCCAAAATACCACAAATATTAATGGATCTTAACAAAAATTTATCTTTAATTGAAGTATTTTTATTTTAATTTTTATTTGTAACTCCTACAAGATATCATTTTTATGATTTTTATGTCCCCCAATGTTTACATTTTTCTACTTCATTTCTTTCTTTCTTTTCCATTTTCTTTTTAATAATACCATGAACAAGTGATTTGACTAGCTAAATCGGCCGATTCAACTAGGAACCGTTGGACCACCAATTCGATGTTATTCCACTCAATTCAAAATGCCATTTTACTGGTCTTAATTGCAGGTCAAGAGATGCTTAGGCTTGACTTAATAAACGATTTTCAAGTTTATTATTTCCTTTTACACTTTTTTTGTTCTTTCACTGTGGTTTAAAACTACGTGCTTAAAAGTTTGAAACCAACTACTTAAAAAATAAGACACGTGGACAAGATTTGAAAGACAAAAAGACAAGATTTAATACTTTATTTTAAATTGAAATCATTGTGAATCATTTTTGTATTTCATTAATCTAAGTTGGCACGAGCAATTTTCAAAATAAACATATTTAATTAAAATTTTCAAAAAACTAGAGAAGAGTACAATATTACTTTCAGTTTGAAACTTAAAAAGGAAGGAGCCTTGTAAACTTAATACATTGGCATAACCCCGTACTTGTAAATATATTGTATGCTATGAGATTATTTATCATTGTTACAATTAATCTTGATGTTTTCAACACTTAAGGACAACTCCAGTTTTCAAGACGTTTATAGGGAGGCCAATACGATAGCGGATTCTTCACCCAAAGAAGCAGTTTTTATGAATGAAGCAATGGTGCGGTGTGCTCATTCCCTTTATTTTGTAATGCATTTCAATCTATTTGATGTTGTTAGTGTTCGTTTGCTAAGGGTTGTTTAAGTACTATTTATGTAATATTTATTTTGATTATTAATAAAACGGGTAGGGGCCTGATATCCCCACTGATTCACCAAAAAAAAAAAAGGCATTGCTTAGAGCCTCGCACTTACATAGTTGGCATTGTTTATATATTATGTACTACTTTTCTGTTTGTTTATTTCTTGTACTTGATTTATCATTGTATTCGCCTATTTCACGTCTAGTCAACTATATGTATATAATTGTAGGCAAGATATCAGTATTTGGGGATTGTAGTTTTTCTACTATCAGTGGCAAAAAATATGCATGGCGAAGTTAGAGATAAATGGTTTGACATGGAAAGGCATGGAGATAAAGTATTTATGAAAATTCCACAATAACGACCAAAATGGAAGAAATCAATAAATCTATTTAATGGATGTCAGTAAGGCAATTATAGCATGTTTCTATCAAGGTCTTGTTATATTAAGGGATAGCCAAATCACCAAACCTATATTTTACATAAAAATTAAGAATATTATGGTCAAAAAAAAAAAACGATTTTTATTGGGGAGCAATAAAACCTAGTGATATCCATAAAAGATATTAAGGTAGACATGAGACTTAATCCCCAATGCGGTCTCCCTATTAGGCGTCATGGGAATGGTTGGCTCATAAAGAGTAAGCCGTAGAGTCGCCAAGAGAGAGAGAGGATTTCTTGCGGAAAGAAGCATGACCTCCAAGAAAGTCAGGGTATTCCCATGTGTGGTATTTGCCTTTTATTTGCAAAGAAAGTAAAGGGGGCAAGAGATTGTACATCAGCCCTTCAGGGTTATTAATATGAAAGAGAAAATGGTACCTAAAATATTTCCACTTTTGTTAAAAAACAAAAAACAAAACTACATTGCGTAAGCTCTCATATTTTTATTATTTCAAGAAATCTTATGGAACATTTTTTCTAGCATAAATAGTTCAAAAATCAAAATAATTGAATCAAAAGAGAGAATAACTAAACACCCAGATCAAATAATTAAATGAAGGAAAATTGTTTCACGCAGGCTGGACCGCATGACTGCATATGCGGTCTAAAAAGTGTAAAGCATCCATCTTAAAGATAGATGCAAGTAGGTGTTCCATCTGAAAACAATAGAAACTAACGGTCTAAATGTTTTCTTACTAAAATTATTTTTTTTAGTTTTGAAAATTTACTTATTTTTTCATATTTTCATGATCTCCATGTTAGAGATTACATATCCTTAAAAATTAAATCCAAAGGGAAAGGTTTCTATGCTTCCCCCACAGCATAGAAGTTCTTCCCCCTACCATCTAACCGTCTAATTTTGATGAAGAGAGTCACTCACTGTTTGATCTTCCGACGTCTCAAAGCATTTTATATTTAGTTTTTTTTATACAAATTGTATAAATATGAAATTTGGTATGCGCCATCTTCTCATTGGGGCGCACCTATAAAAAAATATTAAAAATAATTTTTCGATAAAATATAATAACCAAAATACGCCTTGAAACTTTTAGAGATATTTTGATCATTTTATTTTATTAAAAATAATTTTTTATATTTTTCACTAACACGAATTGTATGGAGGAATGGATGTCCAAAATTTGTTGTTAAAATAGTTTATAGAAAAAAAATTAAAAATAAATAGTATAGAGATGTAACATTATGATTGGGACAATCTTAACCCTCCATTCAGATTGGAGGGTTGGATATGAGGGAGGATAGAACTTCTATGTTGTAGAGAAAGCATAGAAAGCTTACCCAAATCCAAAACTCCATCTCAAAAATAGATTTATTAATAGGCCTGCATTTCTACATGTGCAAGCTTGACCACATAGAAACCAGGTCCTTAAATGAAAGGTAAGATGAAGATTCAAGAATTCAATTGAGCAAGACAAAACCCATTAAAGAAAGGGAAAAATTTATAGAGCCTAAGCTCTAAACAATCAAATTAGAGCCTACCTCAAAACTTTTTCTAGAAGATAGTTGTTTTAATGCCCAAATATCAATAAATTGACCACCTCGACATCAAGATACATAAACATGAAAAAAAAAAAAAGATTTCAAGTTTTGAAAATAGTGCATCTTATAACACATTTTTTACTATCAATTTTCAAAATTTTCAATTTTTTATAGATATGCTCGATCTACACTTTTTTTAAAATTTATATTTTAACTAAATATAAAAATATAATTAAAGTTTATAACAAAACTTTCCAATATTGAAACCATATTTCTCAGCACTATTTGAAGGTAGGCTCTAATTTGATTGTTTAGAGCCTCGGCTCCATACAAAGGGCAACCTTGAAAGAAAAGAGGCGCCTTCAACACCAAAAAGAAGCATTGGGAAAACAATACGGGGTTTTGTACATAATGGAGCCGTTTGCTTGGTTTTAAGTTTTTATTTTTTTGCGTTTTTTTTTTTTAAGCAGCATGGGATTGAACCTTAACCTAATTTAGTGGGCATTTGAGTTGATTTAAGAAAAATTTCGGTCCCATAATTTGAGATGCTCATGCTCTTCCTTAAAAAGAAAATAATGATCTTTATGCAGTGTTATGCTAGTTTAGTGGGCCGTAGGGAGCCTGGAAACTTGCAATCTCAAATATGAGGCCACCCTAAATAATAAACTTGCGTGTAATAAACAAAAAAAATTGAATGGATGAAATAAAGCAAAACAAATAAAAGAGATCACCTCTTTTCAAAAACATTGCCTATCCTCCTCCTTTACCCACTCTTCTTATCACGATCACCTAATATAACGGATCAACTTTTTTTTTTACCACTAATGTACCACTACCGGAAATAAAACCTTCAAACCAATTACATGACTGTCTCTACTCTCTCGGTAGAAAATTTATGCCATTTTCTTAAATTCGTATACGAACATTTTATGTCATTTTCTTAAATTCGTATAGCAAACTTACATATCACCTTACAATGTCTGTAAACCATTTCCATTTCGATATATGCTCTCCACAAAACAATGAGACCTAAGGACAGACCCAAAAAAACGCAAAGAAAATGACATTGAAAAAGAATTATTAGGGTTTCAACTTTATTCACACAAAAATTAACACCTCCAAGACCCACAGGCGACACCATTTTGGAATCTAGTCACCGCCACCTATTCCACCACCCTCACCTCCCCCGAACCCTGCTCCATCACCCTCACCAAACCCACCTCCACCACCCCCACCTCCTCCGAACCCACCACCACCACCAGCACCGAGCCCACCACCAAGCCCAGCCCCAGCCCCGGCCCCAAACCCACCACCAGCACCAAAACCACCTCCGACACCACCGCCTCCTCCTCCACCGAACCCACCTCCAGCTCCACCACCAAGCCCACCTCCTAGCCCTGCTCCACCTCCTAGCCCTGCTCCACCTCCTGCTCCCCCACCGAACCCACCTCCGGCTCCACCACCGAGTCCACCTCCACCTCCAGCTCCACCACCCCCACCGAACCCACCTCCGGCTCCACCACCGAGTCCACCTCCACCTCCAGCTCCACCACCAAGACCTCCTCCGGCTCCACCACCGAGACCTCCTCCAGCTCCACCACCGAGACCTCCTCCGCTCCACCACCGAGACCTCCTCCAGGT